GTGAACAGTTTTTTTTTCTCAATTTCAAGATGCACAAAATAAATGTGAAGAAGGAAACCACACAGAATCCGATTTGTTGGCATGAAAAGGAGCACAAGTCTTACCCTACTGTGCACAGATGATTGAAAAAACTACTAAAAAGAGCACAAACTTAGCCCATTCTGGATTATGAATTTCGGTAAATTACGATAAACTTCATTTTCAGTTTTTGTGGATGTAAAAAACTCAATCTTAAAAATATACTAGATTTTCTTTTTACATTTTGCATAAAATGTTGGCCGAGTGTCCGTATCTTGAGACATTGTCCAGAAATCGTGCATATTTTTGAGCATGAAGTGGCCAATCAAGTCGAATCGCCCGTATGTCGCGGCACCAATTTAGAATTTTTGAGACACAAATTTTACACTAGTAATCCATTCCCTTGATCTGCACTGCCATAAGATAATTAATTCAATGCGCGAAGGATGTAATCAAATTACAGTACGTCCTTATAACAAAACGAACGCATTGAAGACCATAATTTGGTCTACAAAAAATAATACGGAATTCATTGATTTTTGCAGGGAGCTTTTCTTCAAACACGATTGCAATTCGAAGCACATCCGGAATAACGTGCATGAAATCACGGCGCTCCATTAAAATTCGCTGCTCTGCCAATATATCGCAACAATCGCCATGTTTCTCGATTATATCTCGCCATCGAAATACAGTTCTTTGATGTTTTCTCTGTTCATGTTTCGCAACCTTACGCTACCCGCACCTTTTTCAATTTTGAAGGAATACAGATTAGAAATTCAAAATCGTGAAAACTTTCGTACTCAAGGACTTCCTGCTTTTCGAGAAGGAAAACCTCATATTCGCTGCGGACAATCCCAAAAATGTTCAAATTACGAAGAAAAGCGCGATTTCCTCACAAAAATACGCAGTTCAATATTGGATAGGATCGCTCGAGAGGTACGTCGCAATATTCGACCGAAATTTGCATAATTTTGTCGTGAGTAAGCTTCGCAGAAACATACTGTACTGTACTTCTCGAGCGAAAAAATTATTCGCTTCCCACTGATACAAATGGAATTAAATTTAGAAGCAAAGTTATTTCTACCACAAGCGAGTTATCATCAAATATACAACGCCTCTGAGTAAGACGACGGAGTCTCGAGAGTCGTTCGATGTTGACTCGACTATTTTATGGCTCAATAAAAAGGGTTTGTAAAAGGTTTATTCTCCTTTTTACTGCTCGCCGAAAAATCACCAGCATTAATCTGGAACGTACATTCACGAGGTTTCTAAAATTCGAGTCTCTTCCACATGAATCGCATGAGCCATCATGAATTAAATCCAGCATCCGGAATTGAATTATTCCAGTACGGTAAAAGTCAGGGATACTGATGGAAATGAAACCTTTCCCCATTCTCCGCAAACGAGATACAATAGAAGAGACACGTATTTGCCGTTACTGCAGCTCCGATCACTTGAAGAGTAGAGGAAAAATTAACTTCAAGAATATCCATTTCGGATAAAGACGATGATCGTGTCATCAGAAACACCTCGATGCTAACTGAAAATCATAGAAAAAAGTTCATCCTTTCATTTATTCCTTAACAAAACTCAGCTCCAGCATTCAAGCTACGGTGACGTGAGCATTAATATACGTTCGAATAATGATTTCAAAATATCAGTGAGCAGGAAAAAAGGTTTGAGCGCTCGTTTCACTTCACCATAGAAACTATCGACGAGGTTTGACAAGTAGAGAATACAATCTTTGTCCCACTCTAAAGGATATTCGAAAAAAATTCTCGTAAAGCTTGATGCCGGACAATAAGCTAATCTGTCCATATGCAGTAGCTCGATTTCTTCTTCAAAATCGAGTTACTCCAAAATTTAAGTTATTCCCGGCCAGCTGTACGCAAGATTGTCAGTCATAGTGACAACATGTATTTCACCTATTTCAAGAATTGATAATAATTCAACCACATTAAGTTCCGTCGTATTAATGATTCCGGAAACGTAGACCAGGAAAATCATTTAAAAAAAAGGGAGCATTAGAGTGAAATCGGGGAAACCAGCAAAAAATAAAGACTTTTGAGTTGTGTCCATCATGGCACAATTCCCTAAGAAATGTTGCGGGACATGCATCGCAGGATGTAACGTTATTCGTGCAACTACATTACTGTAATTGGGAAGAAACTATAATTTTGCACATCATACTGAATTTCACAGCATTTAGTATCGTTGTGGTCTTTCATACTCATGGAGAGACCCCCAAGCGTTCGTAACGTTCTAAGCAGAAATATTTTGGAATTACTCCTTGTGTTCAAATCGTTTAGACTTCACGTCTTAGCTTCTTCACAAGATGTATTAGTTCAATACCGTATTTTCATCTCGTAATTCATGTTTTCTAAATTAAAGATCAAATTCAATGGATAATTGAAGCGAAAGATAAACCGAACCTTTTTCGATCCATGTGCGAAGTAAAGAACCTAACCAAAACGGATAAAAACGCGATAATGTATTACTAATCAACGCGAAAAAAAAATGCATTTCAAAAAATGCTGATCTTCTAAGCACATAAAGCAAGCAAAAATAACCGGATTTCGGTTGCAAATCCGTGAAAACGTAAGATCACCATTCACATAATCCGTGAAATTGTGATCCCACTGTACCCATCGCCTACTTCACATCGGTCACATCAGACACGGTTTCAATTCTGTCACGCAAAAAAAACAGGGACATTGCAAAAGCTAAAAAAGAAATGAATAAAGAATCAAGTCGACCCGGATTTTGCGGCATTTGTGCTCGCAACGAACGAACGAACGAACGAACCAACCAACAACGCAAATAGCACTGGAACGAATGAGGACTCGCTCTCAACCGCATGACAAGTCTGTCCGACCAACGTCGAAAACACCCAGACGCCGCGCGGCGTTATCAAACTTGTTGGCAGCCTTGGATCGTTCCAAAAACAAACACTGTTTCCGCTTTTCATACACCAGTACACCACCAACCCTTTTCTGGTGAAGTTCTTTTTTTTTTCTTCCATCTCTTCTTCCCCACTGACACATGCACACGACATGTGATTCGCTCTGATGAACCCATTTCCTTAGAATAGCGAGCGAACGAAATAGGAACTTCAATTGTTTTCCGAACTTGTAAAAAAAAAACCGGGTTTGTATGAAAATAGTTATTCCCCGCAACGCGAAAAATTTGCAGTGAAACTTCTGTACGAAAAAAAAATGGCTCGCATAACAACATTTCTCACAATACATTTTTCTTGGGAAAAACGTTCAAATTCAGCAAATTTCGGTCTTACTCCTTAGTATTTTATCAAAAAAATTGAGGGAACATGCAGAAAAGACAAGACTTTGTCTATCGTCTAAATTCAAAATGTCAAGTGCACACGCTTGTCACGATTACTTGAATTTAATCCGAATGATTTCAAGTTCACAATATTAGGCGGAAAACGTCAACGTTCCAAAGGTTCATCACGGTCAATTTGGGATTACAGTATCTCGAATAAATTAATACAGCAATGTATAATAAATCATTGCGGCAAAACGCGTTTAGCATCACAAAAGTTCCGCATAACGAAACGTATTCAGGAATGGATCCAAGCCTCGGAACAATTCAGGTCACCGCAAGTGGAAAAAAACCCATCTCATCAATAGATGAAATGCATTTCTAAATCTGAAGCCTTCTTGAATCATCAAATGATGAACAGTGAACCGCGACCATTAGATCGTAAATATCTTTCTCATAAATAGGAGATTGCCCTTAAAGCATAATCTTGCAACACAACCTTTTCTGTGTCGTTACTCTCCTTCAAATAATGGAAAAGGAGATTTGAGCCTATTCCCAAAACGGGTCTTTTCAGGATAATTGCAAAAAGTGATTAAATTCAAGTTCGATTTGCGGAACAATTCCGATTTCATCTAAAGCAGGTATCTCACCAGTACTTCGTAATTCCGACGACAAATTGGAATATTGTACTTCCACACCACTCATGCCAATTGCTCATTCACATCGTAAAATGTCCAGTACTGTACACATATAATATACAGTGCCTTTTGTGCTTTTTTTTTTGGCGAAAAATGCATCTACTGTATAGCTTAATCAGTCTCGTATTCTTCATACGAATACAGATAATCGCAGAAGCAATTCTCGATGGTAACCGTCCAGTTTGAACTGAATGATGAAAGAATTGCTGGAAGTGGAATTGGAGAAAAGACTCTTCAACAAAGGGAAATGGATCACGTCCAAGGTTCAACTCTGTTGACACATTGGGCAAATACGATTCTAATCTTATAATCCTTTCATTCCAAATCGACAAGGTTAACGTTTGCTGGTCACATGCAATTCGGCACGATCACTTCGTACTTGATCATGAACAAAAAATCTTCCAATTTGTTCTTTTAAAAAATAAAAAAGCAAAATTACTCAAAAGAACGAGTCCACCAGAGAGGAAGGACACAATATAGTAAGTCAAAACGTTGAGTTTGTTCCTTGATTGAGATTTTTTTGGGTGTGCATGGAATCCAGATTTCGCAACAGTTCCGCAGAATAAAGCGCCCAAATCGCATCACCTTCAAATCACAGAAATTTTTGAAAACTAACCTTTCAGTTGCGAATCCAAAATGCCCTGGAATTCTTTATCCCGCTTGGCAAGAGTTTTGTTGTCCACCTTGTGATCCATAATTCCGCTTGCAGCCCCAAAACCAAAGCAAGTTAAAAAATCCACGATCCAGGCGATGGGTTTGTTTCGGCAAAGTCCAGCAACAAAAGCAGAACTCCGGATTGAGCAATCAGTTCTTAAACAGCCACATGTACGGAGATCAAGTTCCAGGGATCACATTAACTAAACACTAGCGACTAAATGCCATTAGGTCGAGATGAAGATTTTATCGAGCGGTAGAGCCCGAAAAACCTTCTGCAATCAAGGGGGCGCAAGTTACTGCAGCGAGATAGATGTTCACTCATGTAAGAGAACTGGTTCATGTGATGAACTACAATCGCGATTCACTCACTATACCTTCACAAAATTAAAAAACACGTCATGAATATTGGTAAGGAACTTGGCCACGTGGGAAAAATAATAAAACACAAAACTTTGATCGTTACTTCTCATATATTTTCAGAAATAAAGGCTTCATCATGGCACACCGATGTTCATTCAACGAATGCAAAAAGATCGAGAACTAGTTCCATATTTGTGCGAATAAATGCTAATTTCCCCCACCTTTCTGGCAATGCAAAGCACTTCCAAATTGCAAAGATACTTCGGTAAACGAATTCCACCTTTCAACAGATCTGTTAGTAATTTTCAAAATATATCCCCATCACTGCACCCATCATTATTCTGCACATACCGGTGGAAATTTTCTTGGTACAGTATTCCTAACCAGGAATAAGTACACTTGTTTGGCACTTGATTCTGAGATTCAAAATCAACTTATTTGATCCAGGAATGTTATCGACGGAATTCAGACGCGAGTGTTAGTATATAGGCCACAAAAATGTGACCCAAAAATATAGCATAAAATCATTGCACCACTGAGTATTCTTGTTGGAATGCTGCGTACAAGTCCAAATTTCATAACCATCCCTTCACTCACCGCGATAAACAATGATATTCTTGTCAGTTTCGTGAATTTTAACTTCATAGAGTTTCGCTTCAAACGGGGTCATTCTGCTCGCAATGAAGTCCCACACGAACACAGCAACATTTTCCGTGGTGGAGACAACATCGCGGAAGTAAGGAACATCCTTGTCCAAATTTTTGTGATCCACGACAACCATCAATTCCTCTATCATCAACTTCAAATCAGTGAGATTCATAACCATTCCAGTTGCTTCGTCGATTGGTCCTCGAGCGGTGATTTCCATTTTGTAATTATGACCATGTCCGTTGGGATTATTGCACTTCCCGAACACATGACGGTTTTCCTCATCCGACAATTTCAAACTGTGCAAACGATGACACGAACTGAAGGATTGAACGCGCGTTATATAACCGATACGGGAGCTCATGATAAGGATGAGTTGGTGAAAGGCACAGATAACAGGTCAAACCAAAATCTGCAAACACAATGCCACAGTCAAAAAAAGAGGTAAATCAGAACTATTTCCAAAACCATTGCTAATTCTTCCAGAAAAAAAAAAAACAGATGGAGAAGCGCACACGAGATAAATTCGAAGGGATTAATCTCAAAGTAACATGGTCACTGAGCTAAGGGACTATAGCCTATTGACCTCAAACCTCAATGCAGCTTACGTGAGTTCAGCTAGCTCCTCAATTTCAATCAGGGCAAGGGAAACTTCACTCACATAAGTATCTTAGTCCCAGCTAAGCTTTCAAGTTCAAGGCTCGGCACCAGGAGTGGGAATACGTTTCCGGTAACCCACCGCATGACGCGACATTATGATATAATCTCCGATCAGAGCCGCTCCACTCAGGGCTACCTCATCCACGCCACCCATAGCAGCGCCAGTCGCTCTTAGAGCCATCCGTTGCTATTATTGAGTGGCTTCAACAGCTGCAATGCCAAATGGCGGTATGAAATCTATGGAGACTCCCACGGACAAATCATAGTGGACATATAGAAAAAAAAAATTTTTTTAATTGAATACTGTGTTTAAATTTCATGGCGCAATTTATGCGAATAAAACTTTTTTTTATGCGCATGTAAATGGATGAATAATTTGTTTTAATACTGTATTTGTATACAGATTCATCGAAAAATAAGTCTTGCATTCAAATTTGTTAGTATAGCATTGTTCTCTAGGAATGGTTTAACATTCAAGGAATTCATTTTAAAATGTTAAAATAATTATTTTCTGGCTATGTTTGGAAGTGATTTTCAGAAATCAGTAGTGAGGGAATACCTTTGAATGCCTTTAAAAATTTCTTTCACGGAAGGGAACTATATACACTGTAGAACCAAATTAACATGTTCTACTTAAATCCCTTGCACGGGAACACAGCCATTAAACTATAAATACGCTAGAAGCAGCAAAAGTAAAAAAATTATTCATGATATTATAGGTGATGCAGTGGGATATGATCTGTCACTTCAAATGTGTACCGGAGTAAACTAGAATATTTTGTCTTCGCCATTTTCAACGTGGAATCCCAAAAATGGAAGAATTCCCCCTTCATGAAGCCGCTCCTTGATGGCTGGACGGCGTGGAAGAAACTAGACCTCTATCAAAGTAGCGTGAGAGTGAGTGGCATCGAGTTAAGACGTGTACCATAATGGCCGGGCACCCATTCGAATGCGGTAACGGCCATTAGCGCCGCCATTACACTACCTCAAAGCGACATCTATAAAGGATGACCAGCATAACTATTGCAGCATTCCCGCAGTGACATCTGTATTACGAAGATCCCAATTTTCTTTATTTCAACAATCCTCGCATGCCGAAGACCGTACTGATGATGTAGTTCTATACCCTCGCGAATGCAGAAACGTAGAGCTACAAATTTCTGTCAAGAATATCTTCAAAAAATTCTCCCTCCATCTTCTTCAGGGAAATCCCAATTTTCTGCCAAGTCACTTGATGCCAGAAACAATGTCATCCTGGCGGGTGAAAAATGGGCCTGAAGTGCTGAAGAACCTGGGGCCTTTTTTTTTAGGGATATCATTGGTTTATCACTGAGAAACCAAACATACTCATACTCACAAAATCTCAAAATATAGTATTGGACATTATACTTGAGTTTACGCATATTGGTCCTTCATTTAAATTTTTGAAAGTGCAGTGCATTACAGTGTGTGTCACTATAGGGAAAACATACCATGACCATAATGCTTCCTGCTCCCACGCCCTTCTTGTTTTGCTGACTGGAATGCTTCCCTAATGGAAACATCTGGGATTCCTGATGCATAATGGTAGAGTACTTGATATAAAACTCAAACTAAAAAAAATCAAGATTACAGCTATGCTCTTTTACTAGACACAGTGTGTGAAAAAGTATCCTCTATTTTTTAATTAAATTAAAATACTGTATAAAAATATAACATCTGAGATTCAAATTGCAAACTCAGCAGTTTCACAATTCTGGAAACAAGCATATTATTTGACTTATAAAAGAAGAAACCCTTCCCTATGAACTTTCATATTATGCAATGCCCTTAATTTATGAAGACACCCAGCTACTTGGTGTCAAAAAAGTTGCAGCAAAAAAGTATTGCACCGTACCATAATCAAGGTTTGACTGAACAGTGCTGATGTACCTCCAAATTTGACTACTGAGGCATTCCAGCATTCATAGTTAAGTCACGAGGTCCGGCTATTTAACAATGCGAAATTCTTTAATACTACTCGGATATCAGCCTTCAAACGGGCTTCAATTTGTTGACCTACAAATTTACCGCCAGCATCATTTAAAATCATAAATTTCAATAGTAACAGCACTTGATTCATGCTTTTTTACAAATTTGGCATGACTTTCGATCAGTTTGAGCTCTGCAGGAATCAAGAAACTTTCCTTTAAAACATTTTTGAGGTTCCTTAAATTCTTGCGCTGTATAGAGAAATTATGCTCAATCACTGTACATGCAGCAGCCTTGGTCAGCTGGTAAAAATGCGCGCGATGAATCAGCGCTTGAGCGGTTGTGGGGCAGATGTCAGGGCAACAACGATTTTGCAAAGTCGGTTCATTTGACTTCTCACAGATGTCGCATTTGCATGAGGTTCCGATGTTCCCGCCGCTGGGGCGCCTGATTTCGAGGAGCGCCGATGCGACGCATCCATTTTCTCATAATTGTAGATCAACCTATGCGTTACAGTAACAGTAATTGCCAGTTCACTCATTCGTTCTCCTCATATCCGGTTCGCATTTTCGCCAACCGTTTTTAACGGATCACATGCGAGCAGCAATTCATTCCGTCGTCCATTCAAGCGGTCCAACTGGACAGCCGAATTACTTTCATTCGCTCTCCTATAGGTGTCGTTCGACCACGGCACGCTCAACACTAATCGCAAATCTTATTAAACGTATGTTTACTGTGTATATAGACGCAATAAAGGGAGTCCCCATGGATTCCAATAAATTTATTATTTCAAGAAAAATGAAATTATCAAAGATTTTTAGTGTTGCTTTCCTTGTACTGTGCTTGTTGCTCCAGCTGCCTTGACAATAAGTGCTGCTGCTTGCATATACAGTACAATAAGTATAGGTTTCTAAAAAAATACCGTACAGACGCGGGACTTCCATTCACAGCGAAATTCTCTCTGCAACGCGTTTTTTTTATGGTCTTCTGAATTTTAATTTTTGCAGATATTGTTGTACACACATGAATTTCAGTTGATGCACAGTCTCAGCAAGAATGAAGAATACCTCTTTATACTCTATTATATTTAATATAAAGATGTACTGACGTAATATATACTATGTATATGGGAGACTGCTGCCCATTGTCAACCAGGAGGAAGTCTGCGTAGCACAGAGAATGACAGCATGAGACTGCCTCATGAAAAAAACAATTAAACATCCACTAAATTGCCTCTTCATTCAGCCAATTATAAAACCAGAGGACTAAAATCAAACCTGAAGTTGCTGAAAATACTAATTGTAATGCACAGGAATTATTCATGGCAAGGGATTGGGAGAAAATTTGAAAACTTGTACAGTACATTGAACATCATTGTCAGTGCCCCATCCCCTGCCAAAAGTTTCCATTTTTCATTTTGTCACAAGAAAACTTTTCATCCAAAAATTGTAAGTGCCCAAATATATGAGAAATATAATACAGTACTCTTTCATGCACAAAAGCATAATTATTATTTAAATGAAATGGAAAATTTTCAGCAGGATGCGAAATAAGAAGTGATGTGGAAACCTCTGACTGTAATAAAGGGAAAGCTTTCCCATTTCATTATGCATCAGTGTTTTGATAATACGGTGAATGCTTAGAACATCACATCAAGGGACATTTTGAAAATTTTCTTCATATTTGCAATCTTGTCAGAATTTTCCCGGACACGCGGGAGTGTTGGAAAACCTTTATACATTTCACCTGAAAATATTATTGCGAAAATGTTACATGGAAAACTAGTTTTTGCACAATACTGTACTGCGCCTGTGATTTTGCACCACCACGCATTAATGGGACAAAGCGCGGGTGATTGGCTAAAGAGTTTTTTGCATTACCCTGTTGATCTGTTCCAATATTTTCAAAATTTCTCCCTCTAGTGCTTCATCATATGCTTAAATGGGCGAGACGCCAACTTGGTCGGTACAAAAATTCTGCATGCACCAATTACACAAAAACGGGAATGCCATGTATGTTGAAGTGGAATTTGTTTCACATCTACAGTGATGGTTCTTGAAGCACATGCCAGTTTCGAATGTTGAAAACAAAATGTATCAATAATTTGCTATCCATTTTGCCAAATTTTGGAATCCCTTCTTCAATATTATAAGGTGCTAGTATCTCCTTTTAATGTGGAGTGGATCAAGAAGAACTTAGACACTTTCCTTCTGGATAGAAATAGTCTTATTTGTACAACCACAAATGTACAAGACAGAGACAGGACTACCAGACACAACCTGGAAATTTCCTACGCAGGATGTCTCAAAAAAATTCAGTGCACTAATGTCTGATTTTGGGCAGAAGCTACTGGGGTTTATATACTCCAAAATCTCATGATTTGTTATATAAACAAATATATTTGAGAGCCAGGAAGTGGCACTTAATTGCTGTGGGATGTATACAGGTTTGAAGGACTAGGGACAGGGCTGCATCCTGGAATATGAAGGTCAAGTCAAAATATAACATAAAATATTTTAATAGTCTAATATCTCAAGGTTCTGTTTTTGCGAAAGAATAATTATCTTGTTATTATTTTCTGTTACCTTCCTTTCCTCTTTCTTTCTCTCT